TTTTAATTATTTTCAGACAAGAAATATGAAAAATTCACTATTTATGTTTCTTAAACTAAATATAGTATTATTAATGACTAAAACTTTTAATTCAAATTAAGTATAAAATTGTTAACTAATTGAAATAATATTTTTAAAGAACATTTTATAAGTTTTTATTGCCTACATTCTTTTTATTTTTTTCGTTGAGCTTATATATATATATATATGGTGAAATTTTTGAGCTTATATTCAAAAGAATAATAGACAAAATAAGACAAAACAAATGAACCCCACATCATAATTTGATAATGTAAAGTAAGACTTTTAAAATTTGAATAAAGAGTACGAAGTCGTTTAGGAAATTTTGATTGCATGCATAAATAATACTATAAATGAAATTTTTAATTAAGAAAGGAGAAAGTCTAATAACAAAAGAGGGAATAAGATCCCGAATTTGCAAAGGATGGATTCGGTTACTTTAGTCCCCTCTCTTCCCCACAAAATGCAAAGACACACTCCCCTACTCTGCTAACAACTTTTGCTCATCCTGGAAACAATAAAAAAAAAAAAAAAATCCAAATTAACAGTTAAAACATAAAAGAGAATGCAGGCAACACATGGGAAATAGCGTCGGCCGTCTCAGGTACAACAATAAGACCACTGCTCGTCCTCAGTGGCCCCAGACTCGACGGTGGCGTTGTACTCATTCTCATTGCAATAATAAAACCCATTGTTATTAGTGGCAGTCAGAGAGCAAGAAACCAGATACGGTATATTGCGGAAGGATCGAGCAAGGCTGCTAGCTAGAGCAGCGTTGGCCGTTCAGTGACCATCATCACTACCAGAATTGTTGTGTTCCGGCCCACAAAACTCATCCACACGGTGCTTCAGGGTGTCGAACATGAGCTCGGGCTCGTGCTACATCACTCGGAGGACAAATGAGTTCGAAGAGAAGAAAAAAATTTAGGGATTTTGATGCTTGCACAATGCCGGCTACTAATTTTGGTGATTTTGGTTGATTGTTGATGGGTTTAATGGACTCTTTCTAGGGTTTATCAGAAAAGGGCGAATGAGATCGAGGAGAAGGAAAAATTTTGGGGATTTTGATGCTCGCACAGTGCCGGCAAAGAATTTAAAGGGGATATGATGTGGCACTGGTGGGGCCCACAAAGCCCAAGTGTAGAGGATGTCTGGACAAGTTAATGTTAACAGCGAACAAACCGTTCGTTAACCGAAAATTGAACGGAACTTGGACGGAGGGACGATATCAATACATTTTCCAATAGTAGGGGGAGGACATATGCAGTTAATTCATCGTAGAGGGACGACATGAGGCGACTTGAAAGTAGAAGGTTTAAATTGAATTATTTTTGATAGTA